GTGAAAGCTTTTGGACGAGTTGGAAAGTTGGAGGAAGAGTTAGAAAATGATGTGATTGGTTGAAATTCTATTATGAGGTTTGGTTTTATATTAGATATAATTTATTCATTGAAGTTTAACATGACTAGCGTTTAAAATACGACCTTAGAAATGAGCAGTACACTAAAGTGGCAGTTGGAGTTTATGTTTTCCCACTAAATTCTCTTTCCTATTTGTATGTAGAATGAGTTTGTCATCTCTACCTTGCAAAGTTATTGATATAAGATTAAAAGGAGGCAACAGTTAAATAAAATGTAGGAATATAAAAAATGCTGTATTAGCATACTTATCCTTTTTTCTTTTTCATTTTTTTTTAACTGTTTGCTTCTACTTTCTCTAATTTAATTTACTGTTTTTCCTTGTAACTTCTTCAGATGGAAACTTAGCTATGTTTTAAGGCTTTCTTTTATTTATGCTAGTTAAACCAAGTTTGTAAGGTTCAAATCTTTATCCTTACTGGTTTTGGTCTTCCAAACTGAGAAAGATATGTTTAGATGTACTAATGTTTGCAGATTTGTTTGCTTTCCTTGTAGTTCTGTCGATTTTTGTTTTATGTAACTTAATTTTATGTTATTAGGTGAAAACAAGTTTAGAATTATTATATCTGTATATTTTGAATTTTATATAATTATAAAATATTTCCTTTTATTGCTAATCATGTATTTTCCATTAACGTCTACTTTCATATTTTATTATCAGATAGCTTCTTAATATTTAGTTTTTGCAAAGAGTTTTTTTCCAAACTTTCACTTCTAAAGTCATTTTCTACCCATATATTTAAGGTGTGTCTCTTGTAAGCAGTGTGTCTTGAGTTTTCTTTGTTTCTTCAGTCTGACAGTTTCTGTCTTTTAATAGGACCATTTACTTTACTTGGATTTAATGTAATTACTGATATTTTTGGATTTTTATCTCCTGGGTATTTTTCTAATTTTTATTTGTCCTGCCTGGTTTGTGTTCCTTGGTCTTTTTGCCACCTTTTGGATTATTATTTCATTTTTTTCTGATATACAGAAAAAAATGTAGTTATATGCATACCCTCTATTATTTTAGTAGTCATTCTAGACAGCACTGCTTTGACTTATCAAAAGCTAGCATAAATTTCTAGTTTTATATCTTTCCAACAAAGAGATCTTAGAACATGTTAACACCAATTACACTCCTTACTTCCATGTTATTGCTGTCAAGTGTTTTATTTCTATGTATGTATTTCAAGCCTTACAAGATACTATTATTTTTTAAATCAGTATTTATTTTTTCTACTTTCTGTTGATGTTTTTGCCTATACCTCCAGACTTCCACGTGGTTAATCTTCCTTCTGCCTAAAGGACACCATCTAGTATTTAGAGCTGCTGGTAATAAATATCTTAATTTTTTTCCTTTTCATTTCCTTCTCTCCTGAAAGGGTTCTTTGACATTTATTCTTAATGTGGGTATAGAATTCTAAGTTGGCAGTTAAGTGTTCTCTCATGCTTTTAAATAACATTCCATGTCTCCTAGCTTCTGTTGTTCCTGGTGAAAACTTTGCTGTCAGTTTGGTTGTTGCTGTTTTATAGGTAATTTCCATTCATTCTCTTGTTTTAAGATTTTTCTCTTTGTCCTTAGTTTTCAGTAGTTTTGCTGTGTTTTACGTCAATGTGTTTTTCTTTTTATTATCCTTCTTGGAGTTTGTAAAACCTACTGGATTTCCAGTTTAAATTTTAATCGGCTTCTGAAAATTCTTGGACTTTATCTTCTTAAATATTGCTTTGGGTCCCATTTTCTTCCTCTAGAATTCTGGTTTTGAGTATGTTCACAACAATCTTCTGACATTGTTCTTTCTTTATCTTATAGTCTCCATCTTTTCTGTTCTTTTACCACTCCCTGCTTCTTTCTGTATATTTTCATCTAACTTATTTTCTAGTTACTAATTCTCTATTCAGCTGTGTGTAAATCCACTTTTAAACCCACCCACAGAGTGTTTCAGTTCTAGAATGTTTACTTGAATTTTTAGTTTCTAGTTTTCTGTTCAATTCTCAATTTTAAAAAATCTCCTTGAATATGCTAAGCATAGTTACTGTTTTAAAATCTGCATTGATAAGCTACATTATCTGGGTCTCCTTTTGGGCTTTTCTGTCAGCTGTTTATTTTCTTTGTTTTTTGTGTTATAGTTCCTTATTTCCTTTTCATTATTTTTGATTGGATACCAAGCATTACATATGAAAAATATAAATAATTTGAACCCTAGTATGATAATACCTTCCTCTAAATAGTATTTATATTTGCTTCTGGCTTTTAATTATGTATACTAGCAATCCTGGATTATTTTAATTCAATAATGAGATGATTCTAAATTAGATTTCAGTTTTTGTGAAAGCTAGTCTATTTGCAGTTAACTCAGTTAACTTTAACTCCCTAGGATTAAAAGTTGGAGCTCTAACCCAAAGTATGGGGAATTTTCTAAGTTCCTTTCTTAGTAGGCTGTAGGCTTTGCTTTCCCATTCTATCCCTGCAAGGCTGTCAGAAGTTCTGCTCAGGTTTTCAGCTATCTCTTCCACAATTGGTGGAGGCCACTGTGGGAAAGCTGCCTCAAATTTTGAATTTGACTTTAGTTTTCTTTCTTCTCCTTCATATTGTCCCATTGTTATCTCTTAAATCCTGTCGAGCAGATTTTTAAAAATAAATTTTTCAGCTTTTTTAGTTGTTAGTGGGAGGGTGATCACATTACAGGTATCTTTGCCATTACTGGATGTGAAAGTCTTCCTTATCCTTTGTTTTTTCAAAGCTACTTCTTTTCTCCTGGTATGCGTGTGTATTCAAAATAAATATATTCTGTATTTTTTCAATAAATACAGAAATATAGTTCATTAAATTGGCTTTTGCTACATTTTATTCTTGATTTTGTGCCACTCTGAATAGAGAAGAGTGCCATCTAAGCCATTTCTTTATATTCAAATTTCTCTTATATTGCCTATTTCTTAGTAAAACATGGGGAATAGTAGGGGTTCTCAATACAAGAGAGTGTTTAAAATATACTTGGTATAGTAGTCACGTTTAATTGAAATTATTTTAAATAAATGAACATCAATAGTCAGAAGTTCTGGGCTCTTTCAGTGATTGGTTGGCTTACACATTGTTAAAACATTTTATCAAACACTATTTCATTGTAGACCATTGAATCTTGGGTCAGAATAATTATATAGTCCTTGTAGATATCATAGAAGACTAAACAGGATAATCTTGTGGAAAAACTCAATTTTTAATATGATAACTTGTTTTTTTCTAACTTTAGTTACAAAGTCGATTTACTTGAAGTATTCAAGTTTAAAATACTTTCTGGTACACATGTTGTGTTGGGCATCCCCAAGGCCACCCCCATATTTGGAGGTAACTCACCATACAACTGTACTTCTAAGTAACATTTATTGCTGTAATATAATAAGGACATGCAGCTAAATCATGAGGGGTAAAGGCACAGGTGAGGTGTAGATAAATCTTTGCATAGGTGTTATTATGCTCTATTCCTCTCATGAGGGATCACATAGAGCACACACTTCTTCTGTAATGTAAATACATGTGTGTCATGTTCCTACCAAGGGAAGCCTATGGCAGACTCAGTGCTGAAGATTTTTATTGGGGGCTGGTCACATAGGTACCCTTTGCCTAGCTCATATCCAAAATTTTAGACTCCCAGAAGGAAACCAGGCCTTCAATATAAACTACCTTGTTGGTACAAACAGTTTAGGTACAGTAAGCTACCCTTATCATTTAGGGAAAGTTATATCAGTATAAAGAACTGTTTACCAGCCAAGTTCCCAGCTACCAGCCATAGGTCCAACCTTGCAAGAAGGTCTTTCTAAGTACTCAGTCTCAGCCTGCTGTGCTACCTCTTTTCTACAGACATGCCTAAAACGACTGAGTGTTGAAATTCTATGTAAATGTTGTATGTAAATACCAGAGGTGGGCATGATAATTTCTATTTTGACAATTAGTAAAATGTTTATCATTAAACTTAGCTAAAATACCTGGTGTTTCTGATGTCTTAATATGTTTCATACGACCTTTTACTAATGTGCCAGTGCCTGTTGTCAGCTTTAATCTGTGTGTGGGAAAAAAAGGACAGTGTTAGAACATTTAGTACAGCTGTAAAGAATTATAATTTATAATAAAAAATTTACATACAAAGTTAAATTATAATAGGAAATAATCCATTATGAAAGGACACTTCAGATATCTCCTTTTAAGGTTCATATTGAACCACCCACATATTTTTCAAATTCCATGGATTTGTTTTTCTTATGAGAGCTTTTTGGGGACAATCGTTTGTTACCAAGAATATTGGCTAAGACAGTTGAAATTCACTTGGCAATCAAAAATAAATATTGAAAAAATAGTTTCTGACTACTATTAGAATGAAACTGAAGAATCTTAGGTATATTAAGGGCCAGTCTGGCCAGGCATGCTGGCTCACACCTGCAATCCCAGCACTTTGGGAGACCGAGGCAAGAGCATTGCTTGAGCCCAAAGAGTTCAAAACCAGCCTGGGCAACATAGCAAGACCTGGTCTCTAAAGACAAAAAAAAGACCAATTCTTTGTTTATAAATGTGGAAACTGACCTGGAAGTTCAGTGACTTGAATAGCTGGTTATTTGTATTCTATCCATTTTTAAGTCATAGAATATGTACTTGAAAACATTAATGGAAAATACCAAGAGACCATGGATTAGTTTGAGTTTCTTCTGGTGACTTTGGATGTCTTTTTATACCTAATATGGTCATGTCATTTATTCAACAAGTTTAATATCAGATACTAGTTTTAGGTGCTGGGGGAATTTTTTTCTGATTTGTAAACCAAGTGTGTCCTACTTATGGGCTTAGAGCTGCCTGCTTTTCTTTAGGTTCTAAAGTACATATACATATTACGTTATATTCTGGTCCCTCAATGTATGCTATTTATTTATTTATTTTCTTTCTCTTTCTTTAAGGTAATACTGCATTGCATGATTGTGCAGAATCTGGAAGTTTGGACATCATGAAGATGCTTCTTATGTATTGTGCCAAGATGGAAAAGGATGGTTATGGAATGACTCCCCTTCTCTCAGCAAGTGTGACTGGTCACACAAATATTGTGGATTTTCTGACACACCATGCACAGACCAGCAAGACAGAACGTATTAACGCTCTAGAGCTTCTGGGAGCTACATTTGTAGACAAAAAAAGAGATCTCCTTGGGGCTTTGAAATACTGGAAAAAGGCAATGAACATGAGATACAGTGATAGGACTAATATTATTAGTAAACCAGTGCCACAAACACTCATAATGGCTTATGATTATGCCAAGGAGGTGAACAGTGCAGAAGAGCTAGAAGGTCTTATTGCTGATCCTGATGAGATGAGAATGCAGGCACTATTAATCAGAGAACGTATTCTTGGTCCTTCTCATCCTGATACCTCTTACTATATTAGATATAGAGGCGCTGTCTATGCAGACTCTGGAAATTTCAAACGATGCATCAACCTATGGAAGTATGCTTTGGATATGCAGCAGAGCAATTTGGATCCTTTAAGCCCAATGACCGCCAGCAGCTTATTATCTTTTGCAGAACTATTTTCCTTTATGCTACAGGATAGGGCTAAAGGCCTGCTGGGTACTACTGTTACATTTGATGATCTTATGGGCATACTTTGCAAAAGCGTCCTTGAAATAGAGCGAGCTATCAAACAAACTCAGTGTCCCGCTGACCCATTACAGTTAAATAAGGCTCTTTCTATTATTTTGCACTTAATTTGCTTGTTAGAGAAAGTTCCTTGTACCCTAGAACAGGACCATTTCAAAAAGCAGACTATATACAGGTTTCTTAAGCTGCATCCAAGGGGAAAGAATAACTTCAGCCCTCTTCATCTGGCTGTGGACAAGAATACTACATGTGTAGGGCGGTACCCTGTTTGTAAATTTCCATCTCTACAAGTTACTGCGATACTGATAGAATGTGGTGCTGATGTGAACGTCAGAGACTCGGATGACAACAGTCCCCTACATATTGCTGCTCTTAACAACCATCCAGACATCATGAATCTCCTTATTAAATCAGGTGCACATTTTGATGCCACAAACTTGCACAAACAAACTGCTAGTGACTTGCTGGATGAGAAAGAAATAGCTAAAAATTTGATCCAGCCTATAAATCATACCACATTGCAGTGTCTTGCTGCTCGTGTCATAGTGAATCATAGAATATATTATAAAGGGCATATCCCAGAAAAGCTAGAGACCTTTGTTTCACTTCATAGATGATAATTTGACTGTATTTTAGCACTGTCAAAGCACGAATTGGTAACAGTTGTTTCATAAATGAGCACTGTTGTGATAACACCAGCATTCATTTAGCTTGATTGATATCGTGCTCTCATTGGCTAAACCATTATAAGCATCAAATTTACAGGATTGGTTTCCCAGTATTTAATATAAATATACCATATAATATATTGTTTGTGAATTACTGAGAAATGTAACATCATATTCAAATTTCTAAAATTGTCTGCCAAAGGCTTATTCATTCTGGTTTTGTTTGCTGTTGGATGTTTGGGGCAGAGTTAACCATTTTTCCATGATGTCTTTATACTTTACTGGTTTGTGAATTTTATACAATTGAAAGTCTTTTTTTCCTGCTTCTTCCTTCTCTTCTCAAGTTTCCTTCCTGTTTCTACTTTATTTTTTGTCCTAACCATTTCTACTACAGTTTTTTTCTTATGGAGCCATGCTAGGTTGTACAAACTTTAAGGACTTGTTACCATTTGCAGTTACCATAAGTGCTTTATCTTCTCTATGCACAGGCTTAAACTTGACTGTTGTATGTTAGCATATTTTCTATGCAGCAGTTGGTCAACTTCAACTCAAAACACTGTTTTCTTATGTTTGTTACAAAGTTAGTTTTTTTTGAAAGTACTCTGTAGCATGACAATTTTTAGAGCTGCAGTTTAGCTATTTTAGCTCAAGCTTTTTTATTTGTTTTTTTTCTTCATTTTCTTCACATCCGAGGTTTCTTTCTCTAATCCACTGAAATTATTGTGTGCTAAATTTGGGAAACAGATCTATTCTAACTCATTAACCCAGTTGAAATTTAGGTCTGTCATCTTAATATATCATGTAGTAAAATGAAGAATCTTTTTAAAGTGACCCACCTTTCATGCTGCTCCAGCATTGTCCTGCTTGTGCTGATGGTGTGACTAGGTGTAGAGAATTTGCTTAAATTTAACTTCAAAGTTTATCACACAGCTTAATGAGTCACATTCAAATATTCAGTAATTGAACTGCAAATCACTTTTAGTTACAAAAAGAGCTAAAGCATGTCAGTGGCATGATGCTTGCCAAGCCAGATCTAGGCATCTAGGATAATTAAGGTATTTTAGTATGCAATTTACTGCCACAATATCAAAGGTCAGTAACAGTGTTCTTTCTTTCTTCAAGCTTACGTATACCTTTAAAGATAACTTGCATGAATTATTTTGATTCCTTTGGTCTCAATTATTTGTCACCCTAGTTAAACATGAAAGGTTGCAGTGCTTCCTGTTCCCTTACTGGAAGTTAGCTTTTCTTTTCTCTTCCTTTTTTCCTTTCTCTCTCTCTCACTGTCTTTTCTCTCTTTCTTTCTGTTTCTCTCACAGATTTGCTAATGCCACAGAAAGGGCTCTTTTAACTTAAGATAAGTGAAAAGTACTAAAAAAGATTCAGGTAATTATCATTCAGCACTTTATTGTATTTCAGAATAAAATTTATGATGGCATATTTGCCCTGCAAATGTCTTAATGAAGTTGTTCTGAATAAAAAGCTCCTTACTGATTTGAGAAAAACTCAGTTTACCTGTGAGTTTAATGAGCTGGATTACTCACTTGGATTTTTGTGTTGACATTTTGTTCTGAGGGTTAGTGTCACTATTTAAGTCATCAATGCAAACAGTCACATTAGGTTTGTCATTATCTTTAGTCAGTAAAAACCTTGTCATGAAGAATAGTAAATAAACAAGAGAACATTATTTGACTTTTTGGTTAAATAATTGAGGTTTAATTCTTAAAAGATATTCTTACACATTTTACTAGGTTGCAAATTTGATTTCACCATTAAGAAACAGTAAATTGGGATATGAATGAATGCTCTCCAACCTTTTGATGAAGAGGTTTTACTATCTCTTACTAGTAAATTTGATGAAATATTTGAATTGTCACATATATTAAGAATACTTTGTGATTTAGACCAATATTCTAGGAATATCAAATATCAGTATTTTCAAATCATCTGCCTCTAACTTTGTGGTATAATTATATATGTATATGCTATTATTTTTATAAAGGAAAACTTTGCCATTACAGTAAATTATATCAAGAGATCTCAATAATTTGGGGTAAAAGATGACAATTGGATTTTTAAGTGATTTAGTATTTCCTCTTCCTCTTTGGTGGCTGGGTAGGAGGGCTTACATGCTCTTAGAGTAAGGCACACATGTCTTATTGTTTTACAGCTGAACTTGAATTGTACAACTCCGGTGTAAAATAAGGATTTCTTTAGCATTTTTGTACCACTAAAAATAGATAACTTAGAACTCAGTCTTGATAACTGAAATGACTTATTTCACTTAGAATATATTTCCCCTTCTCTACCATCTCCACAGATGCCATTGGGAGGTTTTGAAAAATCAGTTTAATAGCTCAAAATTGTCCCTGATTTTATTTTATTTTAAAGGAAATTGTTTCATAAATGTGAACTTAGACACTAATAAAGCCTTTGTCAGAAAGTATTCTCAAAATTATGAATGGATTATGATAAAATACTTAAATTTCTGTTATTTTTTGAACCACAGATGGGTAAATTTTAATAATGAACCTGTTACACTCATGTGAGTCAAACTAAACTGTACACTGTAGCATGGTGGTATTGACTGGAGTTAATATGTAAGTTCTTATTACATTTCTATGAAAATAACTGTTTGGGGCCTGCTGAATTTTAGATGTTCCACTGTTTTGATCATTTCTGTAAAAGAAATGGTAATTTTACTCAGATGCCAGTCTACTTTATAAAGACAAATGGACTATGGGCTTAAAAATAGTCATTTTTCTTATTCATAAATCTGATAGGCATAAACCCAAATCAAAGATAATTTGGCGCCCTTTATGAATTTGAATTTAAGTGATAGCTCACTTGTGAAGTGACTACCTTAATGTGTATAGAGACCCCAGGCTACCATGATTTGGGAAAATTGTTTAGGTTATATGGGAAAAGTAGCTCTTTAAAAATCATATTGCCCAACAGAAACCTTAGGCTGAATTTACAAATATGATAATTTTTATAATTATTCTTAGAATTGTGCAGACTGGATGAGATGATAACGTATTCTTGTACACTGTAACAACAGCATTATTGCCTAGAACTTTAATCATTTTAGAGTTAGATACTAAGGAAACAAACTAATTGGTCATCATTATTTTCTTTTTCTTTTTTTTTTTTTTTTTNAAAGAAAGAAAGAAAAGAAAAAAAAAAAAAGAAACCAGGCCACATTGCAGGAGATGGAGGTGAGCAGTGGGCGAGCAAGTATTACTACCTGAGCTGTGCCTCTGGCCAGATCAACAGTGTTAGTTTCTAATAGGAGTGTTAACCTTGTTGTGAACTGTGCATGCGAAGGATCTAGGTTGCATGCTTGTTATGATAATCTAAATAATGCTTGATGATATGAGGTGGAACAGTTTCATCCCAAAACCATCTCCCCCAACTGTCCATGGAAAAATTGTCTTACATAAAACTGTTCTCTGTTGCCAAAAAGATTGGGGACTGCTGTTCTAATACACTATATAATTTGGGGAAATTCACTCTGAGCTGCATAAAATGGAAAGAAAAATCTGTTATATATTTTCTATTCAAATTGAAAGACACATTAGAGGAGGATATATAGAGCATGGTATATTAATGCAACAATAGAGACATTTCAGATAGTAGAAGAGATTATTTTCAATACATGTTGCAGGAAAAAATGTGTTAAGCAGTACAGAAAATAAAGTTAAATCCTTACTTCACATATTAAGTTTAAACAACTCTTGAATGAAAAAATTCAATATAAAACAAAAACCACAAAAGGATAATTTTAAAATGTGAGCATGTATAAGGAGATAGAAACAGTATCCAGAGCTAGCGAAGTAGTTTCTGAACAAAGAACAATTGGAAAGAAGTGTTACTAGGAAACATATTCTGGGTTTAAAAAATTAATATCACATTTTTCATATGCCCCAAAGACCCATAAACAAATTAAATGGCAAACACAAGCTAGGAAAGAAATGTTTGAAATACATATTCTAGACAATAATTAATATTGTTACTACATAAAATCCCTAAAAAACAAGGAAAGAATACTCTTTAGATTTGATAGAAATCTGAACAGCAACAACAACAACAAAAAGCATGAAAAATAAAAAGTCAATCAACACGTGAGAAGTGTCAAAATTTTTTAGTAACTTAAATGTATGAAGTATTCCTTTTTCCTTTTTTTCTATGAAATTGACAAAGACATGTCATATTTTGTTCTGAGAGTGGAGTAGAAGACCATTTTCAAGATCAGTTGACAGTGTCAGTACCTTTAACCCTGCGATCTCATTGTTACAGGTACATCCTAAGGACAGGCTCTACAAAAGTCAAAGATGGTTCATGATGACGGTGAACAAAGTATTTCTTGTTACAAGGAATAATCATTAAGGTGTTTGTAAATTATGGTTATGTTATATAATAGAATTATACAAAATGGCTGTGTGCAGTGGTTCAAGCCTGTAATCCCAGCACTTTGGGAGGCCGAGGTGGGTGGATCACGAGGTTAAGAGATTGAGGCCATCCTGGTCAACATGGTGAAACCCCGTCTCTACTAAAAATACAAAAATTAGCTGGGCATGGTGGCGCGTGCCTGTAATCCCAGCTACTCAGGAGGCTGAGGCAGGAGAATTGCCTGAAC